CTCCTTATAGAAAGTAGATTGGTCTCAAATCCCTAGATTGGTCTCAAATCCCTGTCAAAATGAAATGGTTAGCTATCTTAGTGGTGGTTGGGTCCCATGATGAAATTGAAAGAAAGAATAAGTGGTTGTGTGGTGGGGGAGAATAACATTACAAATATCTACTTTTTGGAATTTTTTTTATTATTTGAGTTATATGAAAAGTTTAATTATTCAAATCACTATCACACATATGCAATTCAATCCATACTCATTTGCTTTTAGCACTTTGTAATCTTAATGTTAAGAAATATTGATGTTTTACATATTCTCAGTATTGTTACGTTTGTCTTGAGTACAGCTTTTGTGAAAATAGGATTCATATAATCACATAGTAAATTTTTTTAAGTTTCAAACTCAAAATTTTTTGTAATTTTAGATTTGCAAATTTTATCAATTTGTGCTTAATCAGTTTCGCACTATTTTTTAACATTAAAATCTTTGAATCAAACCATACTCTTAGTCTCAAGGAAATTGGGATATAAAATTACACCATTATGGAAATTCCTTGGTGTGATCACTCCTTAGAAGACTTCATGAACATCCCTTGGGGGGTACCTTCATTAAATTCTTAAAAAAAAAAAATTAAAATTTAGGAAAATTATAACAAAGTTTATAGGAAAATAGAATTGCACAAGTAAAATAAAAAGGATTTTAATAAAATACAAATAATCTGACAATAAATAATAATAATATATAAACATTGATAGTTTCCAACTCAAGAAAATATTCTAGATCTATCAAGAATAAAATCAAAAGTTGAAAGAAAAAATATAAAAAGATGTGGATGACAGGCAACCATGTCACCAATCCAAGAGATGTGAGATTAAACGACGAGAGGTGGGAGCAATACAGTGAATGACGGGTTGTCACTTTAGCAAAATGTGGGATCTGTGATTTTTCTGTAAATTTGGAACTTTTTTTTTTATGATTTTGAGCCTATAAATATGCCAAAAAGAGGAGGAAAATTTGGATTTTCCTAGTTTGTAGCTATGCAATCAATGGAACAATATGTAGCATTGTCTTTACTCACATCGAAGTCTCTCAGTTTGTTTTTGTGTGATTAATGGAACTCTCTTTTGTGTTGTTGTTGCAAGCCTCAGAGTCTCTGAGTTTTTTTTTTTTTTTTTTTGTGATTAATAAAGCTCCCTTTTTGTGTTGTTGTTATCCACCTCATAGTCTCTCAACCTTTTTTTTTTTGTGAAATGGAGCTATCTATTTTTGCATTGTCATTGCCCATGGAGTCTCCTAGCCTAATTTTGCATGATCAACAGAGCTCCCTTTTGTATTAATATTTCTCACATCAGAGTCTATCAATTTATTTGATTTGTGTGATCAACGGAGCTCCCTTTTTGTGTTTTTGTTGTCGACCCGGAGTATCTCAACATATTTATGTGTGATCAATGAAACTTCATTTTTGTGTTGCTGATACCCTTTGAAGAAGAGCTGACCCTTTCTTCGAGGATCAAACTTGCAAAGATTGACAACAACTTTAGCAAGCACAAGAAGGTGAATAACTTCCTTGCAACACACTTATTCTTATTGGTTAATAAGTTGGCAAAGTGAAGAGACAAAAAATCCTCCTTGTTGATTTTTTCTCTTAGCAATACCAAGAAGTGATGTATACTTGAGAATATCTAAGTGAGACACGACCAAATCTCAATCGGATCATGGAGACTTTGTAGGCTTTTAGATCTAGTGTCTTTGCTCTTTAAATGAAAAATATAAAACTACAACACCAGCAAGTAATAGGAGAATTTAGACTACCGTCAGATTGCAACTGGTCTTATTGAGATATCCTTCATCCAAGTGTCTAAAGATCCCCCTTCTAATTCTAAAAAAGAGTTCAATCAAAAGTGACTTGCAAGATCATATTTATGATAAAAAATGAAATTTTATAATAGAATAATACTTTGTGTATGCATGTTTGTATTGTTGGCTTTATTTATGTCGACTTGTTGTGATTTTTTCATACATTTGATGTAGTTCGTGTGTTGATTTATGCAACTCTATCCACTTGATATAGCTCTTTACACTTTGTGATAGTACATATCTTTGTCCTCATATTACACTTTGTGACATTTTGATATTGCAATGAAGGTTTCCTACACAACGAAGAATGCAAAAAAATTGGTGCTTAGCGTCTCAGACTTCAATATTATGTCAAAAAAAGTTTCGTTCACATAAACGGAACTAAACTAATGTGCCGAAAGATTTATTGTAGTAGAATAATAATTTAATGTCTTAGTATTGTATGAAGAACTAACACATATACAGAGAAAAGGGAAGTAAGCACGATGAGACAACTCAATTTTTTACAAGGAAAATCCTAAAAAGAGAAAAAGTACATAGGAGTTATCCCTGTTGAAATATTCTACTATGTAATAATAAGTGTATAGGCTCACTCTCCTCTTAATTTGGAGAAGATGGAATTACAATGTTGTTTTTTAACGGTAATTCAACAATAATACATCTAACGGGCCATAAAAGCCATAGTTGTTTGTTATAAAGTCAGTATCCTGTAATGAATATTATAGATGGTGGTTGCAGTGTCAACTTTATATAGAAGTCATAGTTGAAAGTCGTAGTAGTAGTTGGTCAGGTAAGTCATGAATGATCGCTTCAAAAGAGTCTGTTGTCCATGGAGGTTGTCATATAGAGCTACAGAAGTTGTGAGCCACGTAGATTAGAGTGGTTGTATAGGTCATTGTGGTTAGATTCAATAATGTCTGTGAGCAACAGAAGTCAAAGTTAGGAGTTTCATGAGCTGTGAATAATATAAGTTGTAGTTGGCCAAATGGCTCATAATAGTAAGTCGTGATAACAACCGTATGTCGCAAAGGCTAGAATTAGGTGTTGGATAAGTTGTGAGTCATGTAGGTTTTGGTCATATGTCATAGTAATGAGCTATAATAATGTTCGTTGGCCATATAGACTAGAGTTTGGAACTGCATGAGTTATGATCCATGTAGATCGTATTTAATCACATAAACCATAACGGTGAGCAGCAATAAAGTTCATAAGCCACGGAAGATGGAGTTCAAAGCTTCATGAGTTGTGAGCCATGTAAGCCATAATCGGCTACATAAATATAAGTGATGAATTACAAAAATATTCATAAGCTACAGAAACTGAAGTTATGAGCTGCATGAGCTATGAGACATGCAGGTCGTAATTTTTCACATATGTCATAGTGAGAGGCTATAATAGCATCAATTGGCCACAAATGTTGTAGCAAGGGGCTGCAATTACAACATGGTTTGTACGTTGTAATGAGGAGTTGTGAGGAGAGAACTTCATGAGCTCAGAGAATGTCACTATGTTCTGATAGTGGCAGTTGTACATAGTTATTGCAGAGAGTTATTCCATCTTCGGGATGTATTGTTACACTGTTTTAGGGGTGCATTGTTGCATGATATTCAGGGTGCATCATTAAACCATCTTAGAGGGACATCGTTACACAAACTTCAGGGTGCATCGTTACATCGTTTTCGGGGCACATTGTTACACCGTCTTCATGACGCATAGTTACAACATCTTCAGGTGCATAATTACATTATATTTGGGGTGCATTATTATGTCGTACTTAGTTACCATGTAAGTTTCACTAATGACAACGAGCACATGGTGGCTGATGATGGCTAACGGCAGCCGACGATCGATAGTTAATGGTATTCGACAACTGCGAGGGTATTTAGCCCAGAACAGCTTTGTAAATTGACTCCTTTTCTCCTTCAAGTATAGGCCCAACATCAGGTCACCCCTTTCCTGAAGGGGATAAGACCCTATTTTTAGAGTCTAAGAGTGTCTCTCCTGCAAATAAAAAATGAATATGAACAATTAAATCGGATGACATAGAGAGATTTCCACAACTGAATAACATTATATGGACATTTAAGTGATTTCATGATCTCGAAATTAAGTGATCTTGGGCTTGAAGGATTCGTCTCACCGAGATGCTCGATTTAACTATAAACATGTCAGATTTAGAGTTCATTTGATCTTCCAATTTGTCACCCGAAACTCCAAAAAACAGTTTACCTACTTGATACAGGCCTAATTTGACTCGAATTAAGCAAATTTTGGAGTCATTGGTCTCATCAAGCCTGTCATTTTTGTTATAAGTTTGCTAACATTAAAGTTATTGATGATTTTTAATTTAAATTTAAATCTTTTTTATTAAAAGAGTAATTCAAGAACTGTGTCACACTTCGAGATTAATGATAAATAGCAAAATTCATTGGTGGTGTTTCAAACCTTTTAAAAAAAATATCATATTCAAAAAATTAAAGAGCAGGCCCTCCATTTATATTTGTCCATGAATCCCACCCATCAATTTATTCCTTCAGGCCTGTTCCTAAGGCCCAATTTCAAATGGCCCACAAACTCTTAGATCCGCAGGAACTTGTAAATTCTCCCCAATAAAAGAACTTTTTGGATAAATTTTGTTTTTTTGGACAAATAATAATAATAATAATAATAAAAGGAATTATTTTTATGCAGACATAAATCGTAGGAAGGCTCACATAAATCAATATTTTTAAATAATAATTATATCATTAATATATTTATACAAAATGGACATAATATTTACACAGTTTATTGTGTGAAATATGTCCTCCATCTATGACTACATTTATTAAAATAGTTCTTAAACCCTCTGCAAATACTCTTAAGGAATACCACAACTACATTAAACAATAACCCTTACTGTTTTTATGTGCAAATTTGCGTCTTTTTTAATTAATAATTCAACAAGAGGATGAAAACATCACAATTATAAACTTTATAAAAATAAAATATAGAGTGCTTAACCCCAAAGTTATGAAACTGATAATTTTATCTTAAAAAAATCATTTTCACTTCAACCCCCTGAAAAGATCTAATTTTTCAAGCCTCACCATTTCACCCATTCGTATAAATCCTAAATATATACACAACAATGTCAAATTTGCAGAAAAGAAGTTGTAATATTCACAAAGTTGGCACCTTTGCGCATCGCCGCATCCTTAAAATGAATGGTCAATGCGGCGCCTCTAGGGTTCTATCCACTCTGCTTTGTACACTTGCAGCCGCCGCAGCTACAGAACTGAACTTCCATCAAAGCTGATTGCTTTCCTCATCAGTCTTTCCCATGGCGTCAATCCCGCCGGAGATTTATGGTTTACTTCACTGAAACAACTGTTTTGAGGTCATTCGATCGCTGCATCGTCTCATTTCCATCTCGATGGCGACCACAAACCCCTTTGATCTCCTCGGAGAGAGTGAAAACGACGACCTTTCAGTACTGATCGCTGCCCAGCAGAAGAAAGTCGCCGCGTCTTCTCCGGCGGCATCCACTCCGGCGAAGCTGCCATCGAAGCCCCTTCCACCCGCGCAGGCCGGTGTGTATTATCTCATTGCAATCAACGCAAACTTTCTGCTTATGTTTTGATTTTGAGTTTTTTCTCGTTTTGCGTGTGCAGTAAGGGAATCAAGGAGTAATTCGGCGCCAATTAGGGAAGGAGCGGGGCGAGGGGGGTTTGTGCGTGGTAGGGGTGGGAGAGGAGTTGGGATTGTACAAAGTAGGGATTTTGAAAACGGGAACTATAGCAGATATGGTGGTGGTCGTGGTGGTTTCTCAACTGAAAATGCTGAGGGTGTTAATTCTTCAGAAAGGGGGCAAGGGAACGCTGGTCAATCGCGGGGATCTTTCCGTGGTGGCCGGCGTGGTGGTCATGTCAGCGGGAATGGGGAGGGTGGATTTGATCCTGATCGTCCTCAAAGAAGAGTTTATGAGCGTAGGAGTGGAACTGGAATGGGGAATGGGATGAAGAAAGAGGGCGCCGGGCGTGGTAACTGGGGTACAGTTGCTGATGAAGTTCTTGCACAGTTAATATTTCATTGAATTTGGGTTTTTTTTTTAATGGTTTATGAGCTTCTTTGGATGATTTTTGATGATGCATAATTCGATAGGGAGACTGAGGAGGGCGTGATTGTTGATGAAAATGTTGCGATTACTGGGAAACAAGTGGAACAAGAAGATGGGAACGTAGTAGATGCAAGCAAGGATAAGAAGGGAGAAGCAGTACAGGAAGTGGTGAAGGAACCTGAAGATAATGTCTGTACTTGTAGATTGCGTTTACTTATTTTGAGATTTACATGCATACCATTTATTTTGAGATTTAATGTCTGTACTTCTGAGATTTACATGCATACCATTTTTTGCAAATCATTTTGAAAACTCCTATCAGTTAAATGTTTAGCTTTTTTACTACTCTTTCCCTTCTAGTCTTTTAACATTATTTTTATCATCTTTCTATCAAACTTAAAAGTTTATTTTCAGCTACATAAGTACCAACTGCTTTTATTAATCCACTTGTCATACATCTTAATTTTCCAAATATTGATATAGATTTTGAGTGCAATGTGAAGGCGTTAAATATAAGCACCAACTCTTCATCATCATTAGTATAATCCTAGCTGTTTAGGGTTGGCGCTATAAATCATCATCTTTCATTCATTTTTTTCAAATATCATCTAATATATTAAACTTAATTCTTTTCAAATCATTTTGAACAACTCCTATCAATTAAATTTTTTCCTTATATGCCCCCATTTCCTATCTAATATTTTAACATCATTTTTTCCATCTTTCTATTAAACTTAAAAATCTATTTTCAATGACACGAGCAACAACTCTTCGTATTAATATACTCATCATACATTTTTTTTTTTAAATTTAGGCTTGTATTTTCATGTACATCAAAATTTTATTACACATTGTAAAATATGTATATTTGATTCTTGTTATTATTTGCACTTATGCATTTAGGATGCCTTATTTGGTTATACCTATTGATTTAGTAGGATCTTTTTGGACTATTTTTTTCTTAAACCACGTCATTGGATAGGAAGATAAAGTCATGATTATTTCATACATTAAGATGGATCGCCAATTGGATATCTTACTAGGGAGAGCAAAGCACCAAAAATTCAAATATTTAATCAAAATCTTCGTTATATTAAGATAAGGACGAATTTTAAAATTTGAACTTGATTTAGATAAGTTTGAATTTTGAATTTAAATTCTAAATGTTGTTTCTTGTTTTTTTTGGAGTTTGCTTTGGACGTTATGTTTATTACCTATTTTGAAAGGAAAAAAAAGCTTTTAAATTATGGAGTGGTGTTAGGAGATTTAATTTTAAGTTTGAAGCAAAATTTGCTATAATATGTTTATTTAAATGATTTAATTCATGCAATGAAATCAAGGGTGGAAATTCTTTAGAACCCGATGATTTCCCAATTGAAGTTTGGAAATATTTAGAAGATTTGGGAGTTTCTTGGCTTACTAAACTCTTTAATATTATTTTAAAAATTAAAAAGATGCCTGAGGAGTGGAGGAAGAGTATTTTAGTCCGTATTTTTAAGAATAAAGGAGTGCAAAAGAGTGTGAAATCATAGAGGAATTAAGTTGATGTGTCATATTTTAAAATTATGGGGGAAGGTAATTGAACATAGGTTAAGACGTATTATAAAGATTTCTTATAATCAGTTTAAATTTATGTTGGTTAAGTCTACTATGGAAGCTATACATTTGTTGAGAGGTCTGATGGAGAAGTATAGAGAGAATAAAGAGGATCTACGTATGATTTTTATTAACTTAGAAAAAGCTTATGATAAGGTTCCAAGAGATATCCTTTGGAGAGTTCTAGAGAAAAAAAGTGTTGATCTGACTTATATTCAAGTCATTAAAGATATGTATACCAGAGCTATTATTTGTGTTCAAAACTGAAGGAGGATTGACCAAATTTTTTCCTATTTCTGTTGGATTACATCAGGGATCGGCTAAGCCCATATCTTTTTGCTTTAATTATGGACTCACTAGACATTTACAGAAGGATGTGCCTTGGTGTATGCTTTTCGCTAATGATATCTTTTTTTGTGGATGAGACTAAAGAAAGGGGGCTCAAGAAAAACTTGCATTAAGGAGGTCTACTTTGGAGTCTAAAGGCCTTCGTTTGAGTAGAATTAAAACTGAATACATGGAATGTAATTTTAGTGGTAGTAGCTCTAGTGACAGAGTTGTAACTATGGGTGTTCAAATTATTAAACTGTGTGAACGCTTGAGATATATCGGGTCTATTGTACAAAGTGATGGTGATATAGATGGGGATGTTATTAGTAGAATTCAACTTGGTTGGTTGAAGTGGAGAAATGCTTCGGACCTATTGTGTGATAGAAATGTACCGCTTAGATTAAAGGGAAAATTTTATAAGATGGTGGTGAGACCTGCAATGCTCTATGGTGCAGAATGTTGGCCTTTAAAAGAGAAGCATAAAACTAAGTTAAGTGTTGCCGATATGAGAATGCTTAGGTGGATGAGTGGCTTTGACAAAATGCAAAATGAATATATCTGTGATAGGGTTGGTGTAGCTTCAGTGGCAGACAAAATTAGATTAACTCGTCTTAGATGGTTTGGTCATTAGATGGTTTGGTCAGCGTCTTAGATGGTTTGGTCAGATTAAACGTCGACCATCTTATGATCCGATTAGGAGAGTAGATGTTTTAGATTCGACTTATATTAAGAAAGGCAGAGGTAAACCTAGATAGACTTGGCAAATTGTATAAAAAATGATCATAATTTATTAGAAATAAATGAAAATATGATACTCAATAGGATGTAATGGGGAAAAAGGATTTGTTTTTGCCAACGACACCGTGGGATAAAGGCTTGTTGTTGCTAATGTAATTAAAGCAATTCAAGATTCTCTCAATCTGCATTTTATTTCCCATCTTGTATTTGCTCAACAGTATAGCCACATCAATTTAAAGTGCGGGATGAGCTATAGCAAATGGTAGCATAGAAAAGTCCAATATTGTAGCGAGGTCATTTTTGCAAGTACAGTATTTTAGTAGTGCAAAATTGCAAAAACAATAATATTGTAGTAGGGAACCAAACATTGCTACTTTGGCTGAAGGGTTTAGGGGTTTCAACCGTATATCTAGTTTTGAAAATCAGGAAGAAGATTCCCAGTGTTTGCTGGTTTTGGAATAAACTTGGAGGAAATTTTGAATTCCCTCATAGTTTCTTTGGGAACCCTGGCCCCTAGCCCGCTTCCTAGGAAATCTTTTATCGGTATCACAAAATCTTCCACACATCTTTGTATTGTTTCACTCAGTGCTATTAATTTATGTATCATTTTGTGTTTTCAATTAAAAAAAATTGAAAGATTTATGCTATGCCAGTCCAATCTAGTCTACTTACAGAAGTATTAACCTTAAAAACAACATGACTTTGCATAGTATATATTTGCTCATGCCACAAATGGAGATATTTGGGTAAAATTTGACAAATGGAGATATGGTGCTAATTTTGTAGACATCCAAGCTTTCGAGGGTATTTGTGAAATTTTCCAAAAATTTAATGAATTCTTTATGCCATAAAAATAGTATTCTATCGAAAACTTTGTAAATGTATAAAATTATGGTCTTACCTTAACATGAAGTTTTTTTTAGGAACTTCATGGGTTGTGTTAAACCGTATCAAGCACTAAACCAATGCTTAAAAAAATTATTAAATAAAAAAACACACATTTACCCGATTCAAGGTTGCATAATTTAGGGACATAATTAGAGAAATATCATGTTATGGAACTAAATTGGCTACACATGAATTATCATGGGATCATTTTGGGATTTAATTGTTTCTAAAAGTTTGTTTCATTCACAGTCCATATTTTATTTAGTAGCTGGATTCAGCAATTTGACTGTGTTGAATGATATATATATATATATATATA